CATGCAGCTCGCAGCTCTGTGCAAGTGTTTGAAGCCACCAGAAGCTCATCTCACTTACTTCATTAAAAACACATGAGACTCTACACACACACACCGGCTCTCTCTTCCTCTCGCTGCTTGCCTCAGAACTTAGAAGTTTATCATCAGTCATGAACCCAGAAGGGCAGCGGTTACCACATGTCATTCATCTTCACTCAGAACCAGTCCAACATTCATATATTCATGAGACTAATGAAAATAATACAACAGCTCATTCAAAAACATGTTTGCATATACTGCACACAGATAACAAAATCGATTATGAGAACCGATTAGATTTAACATTATTTCTAAATTATGTAATTTGTTGATGATGAGAAACAACATTTAAGAGACTAATCAAGCCAACATTTTAAACATCTGCTGTTTTTGGACATTTTATAGCCTACACAATTATATTAATCAACAAAGTCATTGATAGATTTACTGTTAATGATATGAATCATTGGTTGCACCACAAATGAGATTTACACAAGTATATTCAGAGGCCACACACTTCCTTGCATGCAAAATACATGCACAGAAGCCAACTCACTGCTTCCATCCATCTATAGCAACAACGAGAAACCCAGAGTTCCTCAGATTAAGCCACACTTTGGCAACCGCGGGAGCCAATGTCACAGGTCCAACCCACGGTTGAGAAGCACAGGATGGGAAACTCGAGACAACACCACACTTTAGAGAACTTCCATCTGCAGCTTCCTCCAGGAATATTACAACCCATTTCCAACGGTCATTATCCCAGAGCCGAATCTGAAGGTGTGGTCGGGGCCAGTTCGTTTGATCCAAATTTGAAGATTGCACTGTAGTAAGTCAAAACGTTGGAGACTTGGTTTATCTGAAGGAAAGTGGAACTATTCCAAAAGTAGTCTCACTATAGACAGAAAGCATCTACTGCGTTCCACTGGAAAGATATATGTTTTTGAATATTTAGCCAGTGTCTGTAGTCTTTCCCATTCAGCTGACCTGATCATTACACTAACAGGATCCATTCCCTACTGCCTGGAGAAAGACCATGAATAAGGATGAAGGCGGTTACTTCAGAACTGGGCATCAGAACAAACAAAAGTTGAATTTCACCATCTAAAAACTCTAGCTAGTCAATCACTTTGCATCTGACAGGGGAGTGCAGTCATATCCTTTGATTGGTTGAGGCAGTCATACAGTAATATCTTCTCCAGAACAGCAGATAGATGGGTCTTCATATTGTAAGTATAAAGGTAACATCTGTGTTTCCTCTTGGGAAAGCCACAGTACACTGTCAGGAAAAGAAAAAGCTGCAGTCCGAAAATATGAGGTATGACTCAGGATGATTAGGTATCGGGGTTTGATTCATTCTGCCAGAGTTGATTTATTATTAACACGTTTCTTTGATAACACATTGCAAAGAATGAACTCAAGCCTCATAATTCAAACTTTTTCTCCCTTCTGTTGCAGAAGCGAGAATGAAAAGTGAAACAAGCCCGAAAGGTTAATGCTAAAGGAGGATAAGAGAGAGAATACAAATTATGAAACCATGCTTTTATCTTTGTTAATTTGTGTAATACATATTTAAGAAATTCTGCTTATGCACCAATATGCCTAAAGGTCTGCTACAGAGGTAATTAAAACCAACCTGATCAGCCACATTATAATTACAATATGATTTGGGGAATTACTTTAAATTTCATGATAATAATCGCAGCAAGATGGTAGACTTAGTGATTGTAGCTGCCATGGCAACCAACAGGCCCTGAAGGGGTGAAGTTAATGAAATGTGGAGCAATCAGCACTGGGGATTTCTTATCAATGGGAATCTTATTTTCCGACTCTACTACCATGTGGATGGATGATGCAAACAAAAGTGGCTTTCCAGGAAATCAAAGCTACTCCATCACGCCATATTGAGGCTTAACACTGGTTATAGTTTACATGCTGCCTAATAAACAGACATTTCATGAAATCCCCTCAATATTGAGTCTTGGGTTTATGTAATGGCTTAGACGGTGGTCCGAGAGGTAAATAAAGACACCAACACAAACCCCAGGCATCAGCAAAGTGCAGTTATTGAAAGACGGAGGGTAAATAATTCCACTAGCTACTTGTGGAGCCGGGCAAGAGGAAAACAATCGTTAGTTGCTCGGTTTGCTGTCATCTGCTACCCATGTAACACTGTCAGGAGTGTGTGTTCCATTTCTTTAACTCTGAAAACAAAAAGGTTATTTTGACTCTTCTTGTTTTTAATTGTGCCAATTTAGCATTTAAAGCCCTCTGTATAGTTTAGGGATTGGGTAAGGGCAAAGAAAGAAATATAATTGGGTGAAATAAGGTCAGTTCTGAGTATGCTTACGTGTGTGTGTGTGTGTGTGTGTGTGTGTGTGTGTGTGTGTGTGTGTGTGTGTGTGTGTGTGTGTGTGTGTGTGTGTGTGTGTGTGTGTGTGTGCGAGAGAGGAAGTGTCTGAGTCACTTTCCGATTGGTGTACTGATTTCTCTTGCACACAAACAACAATACCCAGGAAAAAACTATTCTAGGATACAATATGACAGATTTTTGATTGAGCTGCAACATTTGGGTGGGAAGATGCTTTGTGTTTTTTCCCCTCACTCTTTTTTTCTCTGCTGGCAGTGCTCCATGATTCGATGAGCTGAAGCAGATATTACAACAAATCCTTCGCTCTCTACAGTTTTCTCTGCAATATTGTTTGTGTGGTGTCTTTGTATTTTTAATTAAAAAGTCAGACATTCGACTGTGAGAAAGGAGTTATAGAGAAATCCATGTACATAATTAAACTTGACTTAAAAATACTAAATTCCCTTGTTATGGGTTGGGTTTTTTGGAAGACAAAAAGAGGACAACAGTGTGTACATTACAGGCATGACTTCAGTGTCAATGTGGGTGGTGAAGGCGCAGTTTGATTACACTGTATATCGCCAGAGTTTAAAGTAAACTCTCATAATTGCTTGAGATTTGGAGAAGAATAAAGCCTCAACTTGGACATCCCCTGGAGAAATACCATTAAAGTAAACAAAAAAAGACCCTTTAAGGCTGTGGACGGCAGTATTATATTTCTTCTTAACCAAAAGCCAAAATGTATTCAAGCTTGAAACAGAGATTTAACAATGTTTGCCAGCATGATTCATAGTAGCATCTGTTTTTTTTAGAAAAATATGAAGAAACCAAGCCAAGTCTTATGCCACGTTGCTGCCAACATGAACCCCAAATAATCCGATAAACAATGAAGGGATGGGGGTTGTAGGGTAGAGTGCAGTCACCTCCCCCAAAAGTAATTGTAATATTTCTGTCTTACAGTGGATGCTGTTGTCTAAGAAGAGCATGTATTTGGAACAAAGCCCTGATGAGAATACACTGACAGTGGCAGTCAGTATAATGCTCATCCATTCAGCTGCACTGAACCAAATGGAGAGCAAGGTAAACAGCTGACTGTTTACTTTGTTGATAAGCGCCTCCAAAAGACTTGACACTAATTGAATGAATTGACCTCTCTGCCTTGACACACTTGGTACTATAGATAGTGTTAGAAACCCAGTTTGTAATGTGAATGACAAGACCTATCAGTTCTATGCGGTGTTATTGTATGAGGATAAGTCTATCAGAAGGAGTTCAGGGGTCAAGGTGGACACCTTATCTGCCATACCACCATTTAATGTACAATATATTTAAGAATCAATCCCAGATAGAAAATAGCCTATCCAGAGTTTGTTACAATCCTGCTTTTGTAAAGGAGACCCACTAAGCAGCTGATGTGAGTAATTATGAGTTGTTTGTACAAACATGAGCTCTACTCAGTTGCAGCCGCACCAATATCCGTATGGTTTCTATTAGAACATGTCTTGCTGCTGCACGCCTCATAACTCTACAAGAAACCAAACTCCGACTGGTTGTACGCAGACCAGAGGCTGAGAATACTACAGAGCCAGAGCACATGGGAAACATGTAAGTGGAAAGTGTAATAATGCAAAGATACGTATCCTTCTTTACAGCAAGAAACTACGAGCTGTGGATGCCAACGGACACAAGATATGACTGGAATAACTATTGTGGTTAGGCACTTAAATATGCCCCTGGGTTCCCTTGTTTAGCTTTTGGCCATGTAAACAGACAGCACTGGCAGCCATAAATACACTTTGTGATCAAAATAAGTACAACTGTGTCAGAATGTATTTGCTGGATATTAAAACTATTTAAAATCCTCCTGGACTTCTTATTTGTATGTTTCAGGTACATGATCTTTAATGTCTACTTAGATAGTCCCTCTGCGATTTTTGGTTCTGTTTTCATAATCGTACAGAAAAATGGTAACCTACACCAACAGCAGAGCGCAACCTGCTGTAGTTAATGGTCTCAGTGCCTTGCTCAAAGGTGAATAGCAGTATTTAAAATGCTCTCCACTAGTGATGCCTCACAGTCTTCTTAAGTGGTCTCACCAGGAAATATTAAGTAGATTGGTCCACTATAGTTGTTTCCCTTAAAGTGGTCCGGACCTCAATCCATAATTAAGTATATTCACACACACTAGGAATCCCTGAGGAGGAAACCACTTACTTACAGTCAACATATAGTTCCATAAGACATAATAAGACGCCTACAATATATACAGGCCTACTGACTAAACCTCCCTTTCATGTTCAGCATATATTTTGAAAAGAGATTTTTTTTTTTTTTTTTATCTGGCTGTTTAGCCAGGTTGTCTGTGAAAATGGATCAATAATCAATACCAGGCGATGCTGCATATTCAGGATCCATTGATCTAATACTATTGTTGCCTCTGTAGTATGGTTTCCCTACATCTCAGTACCCGGACAAGCTACCAGCTCAAGCATGCAAGGTGCAGATGTAGGGTGCACCCATCTATAGGGAGAGCCAGAAGCTCCCACCCAAAAAGAGCAAATATCTCTACCTTTCCCCCTTATTGTTCAGAAGCATCAGTGCACATGATGAAAATAAAGCAGCTGTCACTTACATTCATCTGACCCACTCCACAGCTCTGGATGTTTGCTCTGGATCTCCTCTCCAAAACTGATTAGTATGCAAACGGGTTTCCAATTCCCCCTTTCGACACACAATCCACCAGGACAAAAATCTTGAATGGAGCCTCTCTGGCCAGCTGGACTGGGCTTATTTTTTTCTTTTTACATAATATCCACACAAAAAATGACAGTTCCACGGATGGTCTAATCCAATAGACGGGTAGGATATGTTATTCCTCCAGTGAAGGGTCTTTTTTTGGTCCCCGTGTCAGGTGAGCGCGTTCAGATCAGCTGTGAATCTCTCCGGTTCCTTCGCTGTCTGCAGAAGAAAGGATCCGTCTGTGGCTCCGCAGTGCTCTGCCCGCTCTTTCGCTGATCTTAAACGTTTCTCTCCTCTTTTTTTCCCCATCAGCATCCAGTCACTCAGACTCGGCGTGTGTTAGTATGCGCTGAGACAGAGCCGCTTCAGGGCACCGTGCACCTCACCGACTGAAAGCCGACTCCTCCGCCACAAGGCCCAGCCCCCCTACTCTCCTCCCCCTCCTCCTCCCTTCAGCGACTTGGGTTGCTAATTTATTCGGGTAGCTACACAAAAGGGGGGACAGATGAGAGGGAGGCTGTGGAATACAGTGGGGAGAGAGAGGAGAGAGGAGATTGGAGAGCAGACTTTGGTGCCCCCCAGCTCCGTGCAGTGGAAGTAGTCTTTGAAACAAAGGGGTGCACCATGCAGCATCAAAAGAGTAGTTTAGCTCAGCATGGCACATTGTGTATGGAAATTAGTCATTAAAAGCATCATTCTTATTTACCCTCTTAGTGGCGACTTACTCTTATTATATTATTCAGAAGGATAACCATACACATTTCAATGTAAGTCCCTGTATGAACATTTAAGGACATTTTGGAATTTATCTTGTGATTTTATATTTTTCTGAAGAATCAATGTTATAAGTAATGCAAATCCTCTTTTTCTTATCATTCTTATAAGTATGGATTGGTGTGCCTATTATGTAGGCCTACATGTATTTGTAAGTGGTTGCTTTTAGAAAAAAAAATTGGTATAAGGTGTATACAGTATATCTCTATCTAAATGTGTACATAATCATGTGAGAAAAAATAACACTGTTTTTTGTTGTATTTCTTTTATTTTTAACCTTCGTCAACTGCACATTTTACAACATAGGCCTACTGTATACATTTTTGTTCAGATTGGATTTAATACTACAATATTTTTTTTTATTAAATAAAGAACTAAATGAATCATTTAAAGTAGGCTTACTATTAAAGTTGATTTCAAGGTGCAATATACATGGATCTAAAAGCTAATGGCTACAATCTGGGAAACGAAGCAGCAAAGCAGGCTGGGCTGAGATTGAGACACACACACACACACACACACACACACACACACACACACAAACACACACCCATTTGGACTGCTAGCATCAGCAAGACGGGAGTCATTTATCACCCCAGATTTTAGGTCAAGCCTCCACCTGCATCACTGAAGCAGAGCGAGGGAGGCAGGCGGTGTGGAGGTGGGAGGTGTGAACATGGGGAGGGGTGTTGGAGGCTGTGGCCAAGGACAGCGATCAATCCTTCCCCTCCGAGCTCATGCCCGATGAATGTGTGTATGTTGCAGTCAGTGGAGGGAAATGGCACATTTACACGTTCACGAGTAAGTGTCTTTACCTATGGTCTCTTTACCCACATTGACCATGACATAATGACCAGACTCCATGGATACAGGTTAATTTGCCTCTGCAGGAGACCCATTTTACATCAAAGACTGTTTGGTTAGAAAAAGAAAAAACACAATGTATAAAATCTAATCCCAGAGGAGCAACAAGCAAGAGGAAGCAGTTACGTACGGTTTCCCCAAAATTAAATGGGTCAACACACAGTAAAGCTCTTCCTGTAATTAGCCGCATTCACACCGCAGGACTTTCCCTGGTACTTTGGTTCTTTAGTTCCGTTAGTACCAATAATGTCGCGTTCACACCGCCGGGACTACTCAGTGCCGGGAACTCTTTTGGCCATTTTCAGTCCCTGCTAAAGAGGTGGTACGAACCCAGTGATAAAAGAGTGCCAATTTCTATTCCATTTCTATTGGCTGGGCGAATTGCAAACCACGCCCCGTTAGACTCTGAATTTGTTTTGTTAGGCAGCCTTTTTTTTCCTCGCTACAAAACCACATCCACACCTGAGCGAGTAGTTTTTTTGTACTTTAAAGCAGTTATGACCACACGTACTACAACACCGGAGCGGTGGAATGATGAGGAAGTGTCGGCGCTTCTGGCAATTTACTCTGAGGACGGGATGCAGCAGCTTCTACAGAAAGCAGTTCCCAACTCCAAATGTTTTGAGCGATGTTCGCAAAGCTACCTGAGCGGCGTGATGCCGTTATTGTTATGTCTTGACTGTGCAATAAAACAAACAAACTGGCGAAGCTTTATTTATTGTGTCCCACCCCAAATTTGCAGAATAGAAGAATGTGAGAGGAGACAGGTGTCGGTGGTTGAATTTATCTACAATGTTGCAACCTTGTGCAGCAATGGCAGGGGCAGAAACACAAGTCTTACACACATAAACACAATTAATTTATCATGTCATTTGTTTTAGATAAATAAGGGAAAAACACCAAACAATGGTTAATTTCCTTTTCCAAAATCAGCCTGAGGGGGTAATATATAATAAATACATAAAGATAAAGTCCATTGTTATAATGGGGTATTTTATTTGTAAAT